CAAAACTTTCAAATTTCCGACAACCCCCCCCCCACCATTTGCACTCGAAAAGGCTGTTTTTAGCCCTCTTATAGGTCAAAATTTCCGAAAATTCGTCATTTTCCACGAAGGTGGGGGGGGGGGGCCGCCCCACCGAGATTTCCGCCACACCGAGATTTCCGCCACTCCGAGATTTCCGCCACTGTGTCTGTCTGTCTGAGTCCTTAATCTTGGGCAAATGTATAATACTGTTTCAACTTATTTTAACAATAAAGTACTGTATGGCAAAGATAAAATGGTCTAAATGCCAATATACCTGAAACCCCTGGCCGGGCCTGAAAAAGTGATTAGTTTGCACATTTTAATTTAATTGTACTTCAGGCATGAAGATGAATTCGTTAGATGGCCTCTGTCTTAAGAATTAAAGTGTCACCTCAGCAGACATGCCTACACCGAGATGATCCTTTATAGTGACAGACTTCTTGTCGTAGAGCAGAGTAGAGTAGAGGTATTATGTATGATGTCATTTTGTATGATGTCATGATGTATGATGTCATGAAAGAGGACCCAGGAGAGAATTTTGTCAGGCGTAAGATTAATCGCACAAATAAGTAGTTGGCATTACAAACATGCCGTCGATACTAAAATCATCAGATTGTATAAACTCTTATACGACCAAGAAATTATAGGGAATTTTTGCAACTTTATGCATGTATAATTTGCATATTTTATGTAAACAAATATACCTTTCCGGGAAGTATGTTGTTGGCTATAGAGTAATAGAGCCTCGTTTTCATGTATGTAACATTAGTTTTAAAGCTCGACGTTTTAATAACGAAAACGAAGTGTGTATTGAGAAAAGTAATATTTATATAACTGAGTACATTAAATTAAATAGAATTATTACAGATTGTTGTGGTTTTTTGTCTTTCACTCTCATTAGAACGATGTACTTAATAAGTTCTGATGACGCTGTTTGTTATGAATAATAATAACATTTAATATCCATCTTTGGTTAAAAAAGTAGAATGGATTTACAAGAAGTGCTAAGGTTAAAATTGATAAGAAGAAATTTTACTATTATTTACATAAATGTTGCTAAAAATGTTTATACTAGTTATATATTCTATAAAATTAATTTAGGACTGTTTTAAAAGGGATATAGCTCTAGGTATAATGGATTGCCGATGTCTTTTAGTATACGATACAACATATGGTAGATTATTTGTTGTTCTTAGATCGTGTTCATGGGTAAAAGGTTGGGGGATAAGTTTATTACATGGGTTGGTCGGATCACTTAGAATTCTTTGGTATTCCTTAACAGTTAGGTGTGCCCTTCTTTGTTCTAGCATTTCAAAGTTGCACCGAGATGTGCCGAGGATTTTGATGCATCTGTTTTGAATGCTCTCTATTTCATCAATGAGATATTGTGGTAAACCACCCCATATCGGAGCTGCATATTCTAAAACAGGTCTAATCTTGGATTCATAACATGTAATGCCGACCTCAGGAGGAAGATTCGCCCTACGGCATTCTCTCAGACTAAACATTCGTTTATTTGCTTTCCTTACAATGTTCTTGACATGACAGTTCCATTTCAAATTGTTTTGATGCCAGACATCCAACAGTTTATGAGAATTTACTCTTTCCACTACCTCGTTTCCAATGACCAATGGTTCTGGTGCCGGTATTGCTGTGTTAAAACATATCCACATATCTTTTGTTTTCTTCGAATTTATCGTCATTTTGTTCCTATTAGACCATTCTTGTACTGCTTCAAGGGCCTCCTGCATATGGCTGGATGAACCTTGTGACACCACTTCGTCCTGTGTACAATCATCCGCGTATTTGCATATGTTTATGGATAATCCATCTGAGATTGAGTTCTCAATATCGTTAATGTGAATATTAAAAAGAGCGGGGGACATCACAGAACCTTGTGGGACTCCTGCAGGACAAGGTTTGACCGATGATAGGGTTCCTGCTAGTTTGACCTGTTGTCTTCTATCTTCCAGAAAACTACGTGCCCATAGCCAAAAGGCTTTGGTTACATTCATTTCTGCGAGCTTACGAAGTAGAATTCCGTCGTCAACAAGGTCAAACGCTTTGCGAAAATCTATGAATAGTGCATGAACTCCATTTTTGGCGCTATGAGTATTGTCGGTCGCATTAAACCAGTTCTGCGAGATGTTGGTGAGTGCGGACACGGTTGATCGTTTGCTTGTAAAGGCATGCTGATTATCATTTATACGTGAACTGGGAAGGTTCAGTTTGAGCTGCAGCTTTTCCAGCACTTTAGCCATTTGGGGAAGAATGGGTATCTGGCGAAAGTCATTCTCG